CTGACCATCCTGGGTGGTCACTCGCCACGCCTTGTCGTTGACATTGTGGAGATGTGTCACGACGACGTTGCAGTGGATATACGAGGCGAGCTCAAAGTGCGATACCTGACAAGACTGAATAATAGGTATTCGCCTGCATTCCTTCTCGACGAGTTTACATAATCATCGATGTAGCTACAGAGATCCTCTTTTTTCATAAAAAGGGGATAACGATCTCCCACTGGGAACTCGCTGAACTCATAAAACCAACTGGGCGACTGAGCCTGGCAGAAATTGAAACACCATTTCTGATCCCCACGAGAGACCGAGCAGGTGATTACCCCTTGACCGACGTAACCCGTAGCCCAGACCCCACCGACCCTACTCCGTGCTTCAAGCCTGCAATAGAGAGAAACTCGACCGAGGACGACCGCGACACTATACCGTACAAAGTGACATCAAACCCTTCTGCAAGAAGAGTCCTCAGTGTGACGAGACCCGATACGCCACCACCGATGATGCAAACCTTTTCAGCCGTACTTCTACTGGTGCAATCAGCCATTGAAGATGCGAAGTCGAACCCTGCCAGTTCGCATGCCCTGATACTGTCTTTGTACCCCCGAAGTCGACCTAGGCTAGGGGAGAGCTCCATCGCCTGCTGTTGAAATTAGGAGTTCTTGCGAAGACCATCATGTCGTGTGAATGGCGTTAATTTTTTTTCAAATTTTCCAGTTATCTCTCAACACTCTCACTATCGAATCCAATGACCATATGGAAACACAACTGCACTCATATGCATTGGACAGAAATATGTAGGTTGTATACAAGTTCGCAATGTCGAATACACCCAACTATTGGTGAGATCAGTATCGCGCCATTCTAGTGTCAATGACAGCACCCTTGTATTGATAAGCATAAAAGTCACAATATGATGGCAGCGGAGCTGAATATCTGGTGGACCTACAACCGCGCTGAAACAACAACGAAGAGATGATGCGATTCAAACATGATGTCGCTAATTTCCTCAAAAAACTGAATACTCCCTCATATGGGGGGGGCTATGAGTAAGAGTGGTCCGCATCTGGAGACAATATAGGGCATGCTCTTAGCGAAGTCGCGACCTGTCTGAAGCCACGCTCAGTCACACTGCTGACGGAGTAAACCAACTCAGTTATCATCATCGCGTTTATAGCGACCTATAAGCCCTTACACTCTACGGTAAACAATAGTAGGGTTCTCATATCACTGAGAGTGAGTTCGAAAAGCTAAACCCTCCGTATCGTACGACCGACTGCCAACACTGATATTTCGGCCGATGGAAGAGTACATACTTGAACAACCAAACTGCGCTTTGGAAATCGTCACGCGCCACGAAATTCGTCTCCTCATCATTATTTTGCCGTACCACCCCTTGGAGCGGTGCTAGTCTCTGTCAGGCCCCTTTCTTAATACCTCTCGTATTTCTCTATTCCCAATGACGTCATCAACTTCTCCTCACGTCGTCCTCCACACCCTTTTTAGAGAGCAAGCTGCTAAAACACCTGATCACATTGCCGTGGTTGGTGGTGGCAGTAGAGGTACTAATAACAACATAGATGCTCATGACCCCTTCCCTGCAGGTGCTTCACCTCGTACCTCTCTCACCTATGCTGAACTTGATTCCCTTAGTGACTCTCTGGCGGCGCGTCTTCAGTCAGAGTATGGTGCCGGTATAGGATCCCTAGTAGGCATATACATGCCCAAGGACGTTGGCTATGTCGTCAGCTACATCGCTGCTCTCAAGGCTGGAGGAGCGTAAGCTCATCATGGGGAACTACTGGCAGTTACGTCCAAGGCAGCGTTCGCTTTTCTCAGCTGACCCTAGGAGTTCACATACGAACTAGGGTAGAAATGTACGGAAACCAACAAGAATTTCGCAAAATTTCCTCAGAATTTTCATATTGTCACCAACATATGTGGTTGCCTATGTGACTATTTTCCTCCCACAGTTAGTGCCAGGTACATGCCCATCGATGCAAACTACCCCGACGATTTACTCCAGATGGTCATGGACGATGCGAAGCCCTGTTGTGTCTGTGAGTTGCAATCCGAAAATCATCCAAAAATCTATAATGTTTTCGCGGGGGGAACTCACTTTGAATTTTCCACACAGTCCCCAATCAGCTTTCCTATGTAAATGTCATCACATTAGGAACATTTTTCCCTTTGTTGTCAAACCCTGAGGGGCTTCATATCTCAAACCTAACACTGGGACATTTTAGGTACCACGAAGGCTCTGGCTGAGAAACTTCCGGAATCGCAAAAGAAATTTATTTTCGACGATGAGAGTTCCATCTGGCGCAAGGAGCTCAGTGATGGTGAAAAGCCACAAGACTTGGGCGTCAAGGAGACCGACCCGGCGTATTGTGTTTACTCCAGTGGTAAGGAAGTGGAAGGGGGTGCTCTTGGGTGACGTATGATGGTGTTGTAGGTACCACAGGGAAGCCTAAGGGAATCGTGTGTCCTCACAGAGGTGCGGTAGTGAGCTATGATTACCGCTTTGGAGCGTATCCCTATGGGGAGGATGAGCGTGAGGCATGTAATAGGTTATACTAAGCGGCATTCCGCCTCTAGCTTCACATCGCGTAATGTTGGTTTTCGGGCTTGCAGGTAATGTATTCTTCGTGTGGGAGCTCCTCCGTCCACTGCTGAAGGGGGCAACTCTTTACGTGGTTCCCGACGCTGTCATTTACGACTCTGCTATTCTACCTCAATATGTAGGCCACCATCTAGTTAGTGTCACTAGCGAAGTCTTTTATCAGATTAAGGAGAACGAGATTTGTAGGATGCTGTTCACCCCCTCGCTGTTGGAGGCGATGTTGGACTCCCCCGGGGTCGCCGACATGACTGGGCTGAAACTTGTGGTAGGCCGGCAGGGATTTTACTACTTCCACAATTTGGTATTTGTTTTTAGATTCTTTGTGGTGAGGTGGCGTCTACGCAGTTGCGTCAGAAAATACGCAAACATCTCCCCAAGACGAGAATTCACAACTTGTAGGTAAACTTGGTATGTTCTCTATGGGATATCTTTTCTGGAGGTACTCCGTTTCGGAGTGTCATGATGTGGCTGGGTCAGATCTTACTGTTGATGACCTTCAGCTGGAGCCATCGAATAGGAAGTTTTGTCCGGTCGGCAACTTGCTACCGCAAGTGAAGGTAATCAGCAATTTAGGATTTTGCATTTTGCCATAAGGCAGTATGGTAGAATTCACATAGGGTCAACCACATGTGTTGGTGACAATATCAAAACTCTGAGAAAGTTTTGGAAAATTTTTATGTATATTCTTTTTATTTGTATATGAACTCCTGTGATCAGTAAGGAAGCCATTGAGCTGTGCTGAGGAAAGCGAAAATATTTTGAAGTACCACCTTGTAGTTTCTTTGTTGATATTATAATAGTATTATGGTATAGTGTACAATAATATATATTATCAACAATGACCATTCCCAGGTGAACATCCTTGATCCGGAATCACTAGAGCCAGTGCCCCTTGGTGTGGCTGGAGAGATCTATGTGGAAGGCCCTACTCTGGCAATTGGCTATCTCAATCGCCCTGAGCTGACTGCAGCTAAGTTTATCACGAGGAATGGCAAACGAATGTGAGTTCAGCTTGTGAAAAATTTGATCGCTTTCTCCAGCTGTGCTCAGAAAATTCCTCACTTACATACAAGTTCATATGCGAATACAGGAGGAAGTGTACAAAAACCAACAAGAATTTCCCAAAATTCCTCGAAATTTTTATATTGTGACTAACACATGTTATCGACCGTGTATACATTCTCCAGCACATGGTTACGTTGGAATAGCAGTAGACCTCGTTGTTGATTATACGCTCGTTGCCTCTAGCTTAGCGCGGGAATTTTTTCATCAGCTACAGAAAGGTTACATACGGATTTTGGTAGGATTGTCCAGGAAGCAAAGGATTTTATGAAATTTCCATCTGCATTTCCTTGTTGTCGTCATCACACGTCGTAGTTGAGCATGTGTGTATGGTTGTGATTTCAGGTATAAGACTGGTGATGTCGGCTATGTGGTGGAGGGGGGTATGCTGGAGATATCTGGTAGATGTGATTCCATGGTCAAGATTCGTGGATACTCCATTGAGCTCAAGGCGGTAAGTCCACCCATCCCTGTAGGAGTTACTTATCGAACTGATTTTTGTACGACGCCACAGCGCGGAAATATGCACATGGCTAACTTCGGGCGTTGGTGATAATATGAAAATTTTGAGGAAATTTGGGTGAATTCTTGTTGGTTTCCACCGGAGCGCGTATGGAGTTTCGGCAAGATTTTCCAAAGTTTTTATATTTTTCTTGATGCACGTAGTTAATAATGTTCATATGTTCCCACGTTGATGTAGGTACAAGTGGCCATATATGAGCTTTGTGGTGATATCATTCACGAGTGCATCGTAACAACAGCGATGCATAACGACGATCGGAAACTTGTTGCTTATGTGGTGAGTGCTTTGCCCCTTGGGGTCTTCGTCCGCTGCATCCTGCTGTGTTGTTATATGTGTTCGCTTTTCTCAGCTGACCCTAGGGTTCACATACGAACTAGAGTAGAAATGTACGGAAACCAACAAGAATTTCCCGAAATTTCATCAGAATTTCCATATTGTCACCTACATATGTGGTTGACCATGTGCGTATTTTCTCCCCACAGTTGGTGTCAGGTCCGTAAGAACCCCTCAGCTGATGCTGGGTTGGTGAAGAAAACTATCAAGTCTAAACTGAAGAGCCGTCTTCCTTTTTATATGATTCCCACGTACATTTCGGTGTTGTCGACTTTGCCTGTGAACAGTAAGGCGAAACTGTTTCATATCGTGGTTCGTAGCGTGTCGGCTTTGGTAGATGTGTGGCCTCGTACTGCATGCAACAGTGTTGGAGGAATATATGTTTGTTTTCCTCAGCTGATCTTAGGAGTTTCATCAATAATTATAGGAATTTGCATACAAGTGTACAGAAACCAACAAGAATTTTCCAAAATTTTCTCGGAATTTCCCTTTTTTCACCAATATAGTTGTTGACCTCAGGTACTTCGGGCAAGCTGGATGCCAAGAGGCTGCCCGAAATCGACTTCGCGAATGAGAGCTCAGATATGACGGTGCCACCAGCTACCACCACTGAACGTAAGAATGGTTGTGGTACATCACTATAGAGATGCACATTTTATAGGTACTATAGCGTCCATCTATGCTACAGTGCTGGACATACCTACTTCGACTGTAGATGTGACACTGGGTTTCTTTGAGCTCGGAGGGTGGGTCGTAGGCAGGGTCCACTCAGTGCTGTGATCGGACTTCCTCTTAGGCATTCGTTATTGACGATAAAATTGCTGCAGTTGCTGAACGCTGAGTACCCTGAGAAGGAAATCGCCCTGCAAGATCTGTTTGATCATCAGTCGGTAGTATTCGAAATGCTGTTTGCTTGGGGGCTTTTGGAAGTGTTATGCAAGAATGTTCCTGTAGTTTCTCAACCACTGTTTTTGGCTGTTTTTAGAAGTTTGTATAGTTGTGGTATCGTTTTTTTCCGCGAGTGGCTCGTGGAGCGATGGGACGGTTCTAGTTGTCAGGTTAGGAGGATGGCAGATTTCATAGTCGCAGATAGAGCCGTCTCAGATGAAGAATTAGACTTGTGAGTGTTGGGGGAAGCATATGCTCGCTCTCCTCAGCTGAGCTCAGGAGTTTCCTCGTAAATGATATGAGTTCATATACGTCAAGAAATGAACAGTAGCATCCCAAAATTTCCTCAAAATTTCTATATTGTCACCGACATATGCATGTCTTCTACAGTGCTTGTGAGTGATGTTGTTTCCGTCAATATCACATTTGCATGCACTACAGGCACCAGGAGGTCTCCATTTTACAGAAGTCCTTTCTCGTCAATCCTTCTTCTATGCAGCAAGTGAGGGCTTTCTGGCGGAACATTGTTAACGAGGGATCGTTCGGCAACTCTAGGGT